TCCGAACCATATCTGATGACGTTTGGATCCAGTCATATACATTTATTTTATTATTATTGGTTCCTTAGATTCCAAGTGGAACGTAGGGCTTCAACAACACATCTCCACTCTGTTCTGTTTTCTGCTATCCTTCTCAGCTGAAACACAATTGCCCGTAGTCTCTCATTTCCTCTCCGCACGATCTTCGCTGTCACCCTACGACTACCCAAGCGCCATTTCTGATTCGGATTCCACTCGAGCAATGGCCTGCATTGAGCACGATGTCATTTGACGGACTACTCAGCATATGCCCAATTCATCTCCATTTTCTGTTACATATTTGTTGAACCTTAGGTTAGTTTGTTCCCATAGTTTCTTGTTGTTAATCCTTTCTGGTTGGTCATTCGATCTTCAATTTAGAGCGAAGGCAACTGTTGATAAAAGTCTGCAAGCTGTTGTGAATGCTTTTCGTGTCACGCCAAGTCTCTGACCCATATAACAGAAGTAACTCACTTCACATTTGTGTTGGAAATCCGAGTCTTGTTGTTCATGCTGAGTGCGGGAGATTACCAAAGTGATTTCACATTTACAAGTGTTGGTTTGAAGGGATTTGATTTGGTTGGTTGCGTGGCCTCATCATGAGCTGGAATCGGCTAGACAACCATTGGAAAAGCTAGTAGTGCTGGACAGACGTTTCGTCCTCGTTTGAGACTCTTCAGGTTGACGAAGGTGTATCTTGCCCTTCCGACTCTGGCTGGCCTTGACATCTTCATCCATTCCGACTGCCTGTGGTTGAAACGATGCTTCCTAGATAAGTGAGGGAAGTGACCTCTGTCACACCTCTCCCGTTGATGTTGATTGGTGCTGGTTGTTGTTGGTGTTGCTGTGGGTTGATTATCTTCATCGCCTTTGTCTTCTCTGTGTTCACTCGGAGTTCTGTCTTCACTGCCAGCCTCTTCAGCCAAATTGTTGGTTGGTTGCCCACAAGTCTTCGAGTTTGTGTGACATCAGACATATATCATCCACACGGGAAGTTCAGATCTTCTAGATTCTTCTCATCGGTCAGTGCAACGTATTCCTGTCTTCGCACTCCCCACGCACAGTCTGTTGCATAATCCAGTTCATCATAATTAACAATATCTTTGGTGATAATAGGCAGCCAGCTGGTCTTGCTCCTGTACTCACTTCAAAGGCTTAGCTGAGTTGTCCGTTTTGGACCACATGACTGACACGTGGCATTGTCATATAGCTGTTGAACGAAGCTGATAAAGATTACCTCTTGGTCAACGCTGTCGATGGCCTATTCAGAGTCGATGAAGTTGAGGTAGTTATTTGACTGCCATTCCATTTTATTTTTTTATTTTGATTACAGCTTGATGCCACACCGTATTTTCAGTACAAGTATGGAATTTTCAGCATGGATATCGGTAGCCCAAATATACAGGCCGACCATAGATATCAGGTGTGCGCCGGCAGGGAATCGAACCCCGGACCATGTGCGTGGTCGGCGAGAGTCCTAACCACTGTGCCACCGACGCACAGTGCATTTTTCTTCACCGAAGATGAGTAGATAGACAATTTCATCAGTAAATGTTTTGCCTTTCCTGGATGAAGCTTGTCCAACATCTGAAATAATTAAGTTATTTTATATGAGGGCACACTTTCGAGCAATTAAAGTACATGCATTGATGTTATATTTGTCTCATGCATCTGTTTTGTTGAACTCAGTCCTTTAAACTTATCATTTAATGTTATTCCCCTCAAAACGTCCATCATGATAATTGATGTTAGGCCAAAGTAACTGTACCTCTCATCCCTTGGTCTATCTCAAATTGTCGGCAGCATTGCGTCTCTTGTATAAGCCGAGAAATTCCTAAGTTAATCATACGTAAACACAAATGTGGGAACCTGTTTGCCACACTTGAGAATCCTGAGACGAGGAAATTTTATAGAACTGCTAGGAATAAAGCTATTGCAGAAATCCGCATATCATGGATGAAGTCCAAACACATGAAGCTCAAAATACAAAGACACAACCTAAGAAAATTTTTCGTACATGAATTTCAGGAGTAAAATATCCAATGGTGTTCTAAATCTGAATACTGACAATGGCACAGTCGAAGAAGATCAAGAGAAAGAGGAACCAATGGCAGACTACTTCACTCAAGTCTTTACACGGGAGTCATCACTCCCTATAGGATCAGCTCTGGCTGCACCATAGGAACACGGGATAGATTCCGTTGACATCAACCAAGACGCAAACAGCGAAGGAAAGTTTCTTTTCGACAATTCATTTTCATGAGCTGTAATATCATTATTATACTGAACAAAGAAATCTTTAGACTAATCAGATACTGCTAATCTTTGTCCTCGAAAATTGCATTCCATAATGTAAGGTGTAAGTAGGGATGACTAATTGTAAGTTAAAAAGAGGCAGAAGTTGGCATGACGTAATAAGTGTGAGATAATGACTAATCAGTAAGCTCGTTTAGAATGGACAGAAACTAGCGGAAAGGGAATTGAGTGTTTTAATATGAAATCTGTATGAAAAAGATATGTTGTTAATAAGCAGTAGTAGAGTGGTAAGATATAGATGATGGGAATAATAATGATAATAAAATAACAGTAGTAATACAATAACAATAATAATAATAGTGAACTCTCATAATAAAAAGAAAGAAGCGAAATCATAATAAGAACTTTACTCTGGCCTCGGTAAGGCGAGAGAATATATGTATTGCTTTTGAACGCAGAGATCCGCTTTCAGATCTTGGACAGCTAATGCTTCAGCTATGTATAGATGGCGTATGCGAAGTCCCTTTGTGCGATATTGAAGGAATATGTGTAACACTGTGAAGCATTCATGTGGGGGTTGTCGATGTCCGGAGATGACAGGGTGTTCGAGGATAGATCTGCCGCTATTCTTCCTCTGGCTAACCAAGCTGGACAGTGTTCTAGAATACGCTTGCGGACTAGACGTTGAGTACGGCCGATACACTTTGCTTCACACGAGCAAGTTAATTGATGAATACATATTCATTGGGTGTAGATGCAGGGAAATCAATGGGTCCTGATGATCTTCATTCATGGTCCACACAGCTAGGCCATTGACCACGATCTTCAAGCTCTCTCTCCTAAATGGAGTGTTACCGCGTGACTGGAAAGACGCCATAGTAACCCCCATCCACAAAGTCCTTCAAATAACAGGCCTATTAGTCTCACCAGCACCTTAATCAAGACAATGGAAAGAATCATCAAGAAAAGTATCATGACATACCTGGAAAACAACAATTAATTATCCGTAGCACAGCATGGCTTCCGAAGAAACCTCTTATGCCTGTCAAATCTCGTCACTGCCAAAGAAAGCTGGATCAAATCAAGGGACAAGAGAAGACCCGTTGATGCCGTCTACATAGACTTCAGCAAAGCCTCGTCACAAAGGACTAGTCATGAAGTTGGAAAGTTCTGGTATCAAGTGCAAGTTACTAAACTGACTTAGGGAATTACCCAAACAAAGTAGGCACAGGGTACTCGAGCTTGTCCTATGTATTTTGCACATCAGTGAGTCATCTCTGTTCACCGATTCCCCTATGGTCCAATACACGGATGACTTAAAAATTCCGAGAGAGCTGAAGGGCAGCAGTGATACGCTCACGTTACAAAAGGACCTCAACAAATTGTCAGAATGGTCCAGAGAATTGATGCTCCCAATCAATGTGACGAAATGTGCAACAATGTGAATTGAACAAGCAAGCATCAGCTCCTACAAACTAGAGGGAATAACACTTCCATCAGTTCAGACTCATTTGGATCTAGGTGTCACAGTTAACCACGACTTAAAAACTACAGCACACATTCACGCGGTGGCTGCACGTAGTTTCAGATAGGAATAAAATATATATATATATATATAGTTAATGGTAATTCGCAGAGCCTTTACTAGAAACACCAGAGATGTGTTCACATCCTTATATACATCTCTGGTGAGGTAAAGACTAGAAAACTGTATCTAGGCAGCCAGTTCCTGTCTTAAAGGGGACTCAAAAATTCTAGGAAGGGTTGAAAGGAAGGCAACACGTATGATTCTCGGCATGAGTAACTTATCATACGAGGAAAGACTATGCAGTTTAAATCTCTTCTCCCTGTCATACCGCTGGTAGAAAGGAGATTTAATCACAATGTTTAAAATTTTAAATAATGACTACGTACCTGACCTATTCTCTCTTTTCCCTCTCACCAGATCGGCACATCTTAGAGGACATAGCAGGAGAGTTCAAAAGCCAAGGACAAATCATACTGCTGTTGAGTATCGATTCTCACGTGGAGTCATAAACTCTTGGAACCGAATCTCAGAAGAAGTGGTGTCTTCAACCTTAACTGATTCATCTAAGAAGGGTTTGGACAAACACAGAAATCTACTAGAAAAGGATAAACATAGGCTCCAAACGTTCTCTTCCCAACCAATATATCCGAAATCTGATGATCTTAGCGTGTCGAAGGCAGAACACATCGGCGACTCCTGTCATTAAATCCTAAGCGTAGTTTATCGGAGTGAAACCATGTATTTGAGGTGGAAACACTTCATACTTCAGTGCACTGACTACTTGGCCGTAATAACCTCTCCAAAGGACTTCCTTATAATGTTTGTTCTCTGTTCAGTTAAGACTGAAAGTTTGCTGTCATCCGCTGTGTTCCTACAGATGTTCTCGAGACGAGGTAGAGCAAATACCACAGATGTTTAAATTGCTCCAGCCACATTGCATACGTTTTATCTTTTATATTCGGACCCGCTCTCATGTGTACTATCATCAGTTACATTTCAAATTCATCTCGTCATTTTTCGATCATACGTGTCAGGTTCTGTCTAAATATATAAGATAAATTTTTGGATTATGTGAGGTATTCACTAAGTGTCCTGATGCGATATCAAGTGAAGGTTAATTTAAGAGGACTTTCGTTTGGCTATGTGATATCTTTTCATTGTTTTACCTGGCCATTGAAGTTAATCCTTACGGCCTTGAAACCTTCAGTGCACAGATTAAAGTCAGTGTGCTGTCATACGATTCCTAATTTTCCTTGATTTTACCAGATAAGACTTGTTTTCCGTATGAGAAATACAAACGGATTTTGTTAAGAAAAAATGGTTTTCCTTTAACAAGGTTGTTAAAAACAAAGTTAACCTTTTTTGTTAGTGTAATTTTTATGAAACAGTAGTGATACCAAAAGCAGTACCAATTTACATACCTGCAGTGAGAATGCTGTGCTGTATAGTGTTTTTTCTTGCGATTATCGTTGCATTATTGTGACTGAGCGAGAGACTACTGATGCGTAGTTATTCTTTTCTGGATTTCGTCCATTTTAAAATATTCTCAACATCCCAAGCTTACAACAGTTCTAAACTTATTCTACATATTTTTCGATAATGCCTTTTTGTGGTAAATGAAGATTTCATCCACCCACTATGTTCTGAAATAACTCTGGTCGTTCCTAAAAAGAGAGCTGAAGTAACTCTAATCCGTGTTTAATATGTCCTGTGAGGGCTGGAACAACGCTGATAAGCAAGCCCAGTTGGTTCTGATCTACTCATGAAAATGCCTAGAGGAAGAACACGGTACTGAATTAGTGACAGTCATGCTGAAAACCAGCACTGAGTTCTAGTCTGTGCCTTTAAAAAATCCATTTCAAAACAGATTGAGAATTTACTCACTAGAGAATGTTGGAATTATTTCAGAATTAGTGAAATTTAATTCAGCATTATGGTAAGCTTGGGATGTAACATTTAATAAATCAACTAGTACTAAATAACGTACAACTAGTGCCGTTGTTGTACTTACGTATCATACTTAATTCTTCAAGGTTGTTGATTCATTTAAACATAAAAAATTACAACTGTCCACTGAAATCCAGTCGCCAGAGAAATTTCTGCCCTATGTGTAACGGTGTTTGCATACTGCTACGTGAAAATTAGTCACATGTAACATGTGGGCATTCTGTTGTGTTAGTCAGGTGGGGTTGGGAGGATAACCACCTTTTGATAATATGCCCGTCTTTATCTATAACATAGACATCCATAGCCCAAGATGCCTGAGTTCCGGCTAGTGATATCTGAGTTCCCATTCGGCATATGATTTAGGCATCAATGCTTGAAGTATGGAGTCTGCAGAGTTATTATATGAAGCCTAGAATGGTGCTGTACCGAATTAAGTTATTGGCAACGAAAACAGGAGTATGAGATGCTAGAACTTTATGTTAAGTAATAATATCAATAAAAAGTGGCAGAAAGCCAAGGGAATTATCTCTGTATGTGCGCATTTTCGCCATCGATTTCAATTCTGATCCATATCTGGCAATGTGTCGAGTCACTGAGTCGCGTAATTTCCCGGAATCCACATACTGAGTGATGACGCACCAATAGATGCTAACCTATCCTGATTATCTTTCATTTCACGACACTAAGCCACCTACCACTTTTCTGCTTTTTCACTTCATCACAAGGCTGTCATACAGTGAAAACCACTGAGATAAGTCTTGTAACTCATATTCAAGCTGTGAAAGCTGTTGTCTTGAGATGATATCATTTGACGACTTTCGTCCCATACAAAGACTCGTCGTTGGATATTATGCTTACTTATGTGGCATTACCACTAGGCGTAAATAGTTCTATGAAGGCGGCTGTGATAAAACGCATTTTCGGCTCGGAGAGGCTACATAAGCGTAGGGGAAGACTTCACTGACCGAAGTACTGTAAACCTGACTTTTGAAAGTCATGATGTCTCAATGCCATAAAGTGACCCAGAGTGATGTATGCTGCTCTGGTTTCTGGTAGACGGTTAAAACTTTCATCTATCACACCACCATCACTCACAAAGATATCCACATATGCGGATTTTTCAACAACACCCCACCTATGTGGATGATCGTAAGTGCCGGTTTCTATCGATCCTGCGGCGTACTTCACACTTAGAGGGTGCCCAAAAAAATACCATACTGATACCAACTGTTCTATCAATGACTGCATTTTGGATAGCGTACACTTTATCGAATAGTAAAACAGTATCGTCTGCATAATAAAATTCGAAGTCTTTTGCCGGGTGGGTAGCCAGTCCAAATCAACACAGTGCGTTTTCTTCATTACTGTCTTCAGAATATCTATGGCAAAGTTAAAGAGAAGTAGCTAGATTGAGCAACCATGTCTATCCTCGAAGCTTTTTAAGAACAGTAGTGATAAGTGGCTGTGGGCTGTTTTCTGGAGTTGAGACGACGGCCATTTTAGAGAAACGTCTGTCTTACACATAGTTGTCTTGCAAACCGAATGTAGTTCTGGTACTACGGAGAGTAGAATTTCTGAGGCTTAGTTTATCGGACCTCTACTCCTCGAAGCTTAAAGTCATCATAACTGGTTTTAATATCATTCGAGAGTCTCTTCTTTGTTATGTCAAGTCCTTGTCAATCAGCACTATCAATTCGGTCCTATAACAGCGCTTTACGGTAGGCAATTGCAGAACGAATACAACTGGTTTTACTCTTAAAGCGATCCAGTGAGTCTCTAGTAGGGTAAAATTCGTGGAAGCTCTTCGTATCATTGTAATGTGTGAAGCCGTATCACAGTGAAAGGTCGGCGGGGATAAAATTAACAATCTGTTATACGTGAGAGATAAACTATATAGTAACCGTGAAATATCCATAGTTCAAAAAGTATTGATAAAGAATAAAAAAGTTGAATTTTTCTTCTGATTTAACAGATATTTTTGTTGAAATAGACAAGTTAGCAGTTAGTCGACTGCAGTGTTTATAAGGTTTCAATTTTATCTGTTAAAAATATAACATTCCTCTTTACAAATGGTAAGGAAAATTTAAGCCCACATGTTCAACCATTATGCGAGTGGTGTTTAGAAAACAACAATTTTTGTATTTGTGATCTTACCTTCTATGAATTTTGAAAGAAGCCTTTTTGAATTCAGTGGTTACTAGGTTTATTCTTCGGGGATTTTTGTAATTCAGTTGATGAGTAAATATGCAGAAATCACCCGAGCACATCCACGACCGGATGTACTTTCTAACAGTGTTTACCGAAACCATTTGTTATCATTCGGGATGGGATTACAAGATAAATATTTAGTTAGTCATTTGTAGTCCGGGCTTTGTACTGTTGCTAGGGGTGATATTTTGACTGTTTCTAGTGTAACCTACGCTGTCATTTATTTTGCATTATATTTTGTGTTCAATTATCGCCAAAGTCTTGAGATTTTCTTATATGGTCTGTATTTCATGTAATAGCATGTTTCATCTTCTTCATACAGGCTACAGTTGAACAAACTGTTGTCTTATTGTTTCGTACTATATACTTTTCTTTTGAGTAGTGCTTCTTATAACTGACACAAACGCTTTCAATATTTTTATTTACAGAGTAATTCTACATAAATGACATTGAGCGAACGCTTTAAAGAAGTTGAAACCCACCTTCGTGGTTTCAAAATCACTGATTTATCATCGCTGTCTTATGGTACAGCTGGTTTTCGCCTGCCGGCTCATAAGCTAAGTGGTGTAGCAATACGACTAGGAATACTGGCTTGTCTCAGATCTTTGAACTTGGTACTAATGTCTTTGTTGACTAACCCATTTAGCATTGTAGAGCGATGGGTATAATGATAACTGCTTCTCACAACCCACCGTGTGATAATGGAATAAAATTAATTGATCCGGACGGTGGTATGTTGGATACTGAGTGGGAGCCAATTGTTGTTGATTTCATGCGTTGCCCTGAAAATTCTGTCTCCGAATGGTTATCGGAGCACTCTTTATGTACAGAAGGTATATCCCATCTTATATATATCTTTTATTTATTAATAATTTGTAAATCTTTCTAAAAATTGCTAAGAAAATTTTACAAAACCTGTCAACTAAATATTTCTACAAGTCATTTTTCTTTAAAATCGTGTTGAGTGGAAGTATTCTTTGACAGTAAGAAAAAGGTTAGCTTTTAATCTGACGCCTATGGGAACTACTTTCATCATGTTAAAATGTTGCTCTACGTTGTCCTAAATTTGTGCGTCTCTCAAAATCTACTTCATCCAGTTACCCAGAAATGGTATTCAGACAGTTTTTACTAATCAAGGTGGTCGACAAAAACATGGAACTGCTATGGGATGTGCATTTTGTGAGGCTCTATCTGCCGATCACTCATCTGAAAAGGGTTCATCGTACTTTTGTTTTCAATAATCGACGCATAGTTACTTTCTGTTAGCTTTGCAAATATTTAAGTCAAGGATGCCCGACCGATAACTGCTACCTTGCCGTGGTGGTCGGGCTTGAATGCCGCAGTGACCCAACAAGCTAAACTGGCTGGGACTCATGTCCCTGCAGGTCCTACCATGCCAGGAAGGTTGTTTGGATAGCGGTTAGACTAAAAGCAGTTACCATGGGGTACATGGGCTCCAGTTTCCAATTGGATCGAACGGCGTATGAACCCATATGGGTCACCGGCAACCATGGGAATGCAGCTCCTGACGCTGCTCCGCTGCCTTGCGGATTAGACTCCAAGTCAAAGGCTCGGGGGGTGGTCCCTTAATAAAACCACCTGCTTCGGTCTGGGCGCCCGGGCAGTATCTCAGCCCGCACACAATGAATGAATTGAAGCAACGAACTCTCATTGAAACTCAACGCGCGCTAGTGAAAAATGATTCCAAGCAATATTGATCCCTCAAGCAACTTATTTCCTTCCTATCTTACTTTTATTTTTACACATAGTTTCCTGTATTTTACCTTTGCTAACCTTGGCTTCTTAACCTTCGACAGCCTGTCGCCTTTGTCGAGATTCCCATCCTATCCGTGTCGTTTCGAGATGTTAGTGAGTAGTCCTCAAAATGGTTGTTCCCAATGCGACTTCTAACACAGATATCCTGAAACCGCGTGCTGCGTTCAAGCTGGCTACCTACAATGTTCGGACGCTGATGCAAATCGGACAACAGGCAGGGTTGGCAAGAACTTTGGAAAGCCTCGCTATCGATGTCTGCTGCATTTCGGAGACCCGCATTCAAGATCCCAGTGAAGTACTTCGACTATCCTCTCCATCTGGAAGTTCTAGTAGTATGTACCACCTGCGCTTATCCGAGGACCCTGTGGCATCGGCATCCGGCGTAGCTGGTGTCGGTGTCGCACTGAGCGCTAGAGCCGAAGCTGCACTGCTCAACTGGATTCCCATTAACAGTCGTTTATGTGCTGTGAGGCTGGAAGAATATACGAAAGTAAGGAGTAGTAGGCCAGATAGGCGGTGTCTATTTGTTGTCTTTGCCTATGCACCGACGGATTGCAGCCCGGATGCAATGAAGGATGAGTTTTACTACCAACTGAGCGATCTGTTGAAACAGGCGGGTCGGAGGGATATCGTAGTGCTAGCTGGGGACTTGAATGCACAGGTCGGGCGCCTAAGCTCAGAGGAGAGTCGTCTAGGTGGTCAGTGGGGACTACATGGTCGCAGGTCAGATAATGGGGACCGTCTTCTGCAGCTTTGCGCGGATCACAACCTTTTTCTAGCCAGCACCAGGTCGTGGATGCATTGATCATGTGTTCACCCTTCGTCAGTTGTTGGAACACCGCTACACGTATTGCAGGCCAACGATCGTTGTGTTTCTTGATATTAGGGCTGCCTTCGATTCGTTGGACAGAACTGTGCTCTGGAACTGTCTGTTAGAGAGAGGTGTACCTGAGAAATTTGTTAACATCTTGAAAGCCCTATACAGAAACACCTCAGGTAGAGTGAGGGCATACAACCAACTATCACCACTGTTGCCAACCAACAGTGGGGTTAGACAGGGTTGCCCAATCTCGCCATTTCTCTTTAACTTTGCCATCGACGACATTCTGGAGTCAGCTCTGAAGGATGTGCGTGAAGGTGGTGTAGATCTGCTACCTGGAGATAGACTTTTCGACCTCGAGTATGCAGACGATATCATCTTACTGTGCGATGGCATGCAGGCTGCCCAAATCGCACTTAATCAGTTGGTGATCAGTGTCTGTAAGTATGGTATGTGCTTTGCACCATCTAAGTGCAAAGTACTGTTACAAGATTGGCAGGAGCCTGTACCTGCACTCACTCTTGCGGGTGAACCGCTTGAAGTTGTCGATAAGTTTGTGTACCTAGGTAGTTGTGTGAGTGCTGGCGGAGGGTTGACGGATGAGATTTCCAACCGTATAATGAAAGCTAGGGTGGCATACATCAACTTGAGCCGCCTCTGGCGCCGTCGCGACGTTAGCCTGGCTGTCAAAAGTCGGGTATACAATGCTTCGGTGCGGGCTGCGCTGCTCCACGCCTGTGAAACCTGGCCTCTCCGAGCTGAGGATGTGAGGCGACTCTGCGTGTTCGATCACCGCTGTCTCCGCAGGATTGCTTGCGTTCGATGGCATCATCGCGTGAGTAATTCTGAGGTTCGGTGGCGTGTGTTTGAACACAGTGGAGATCACCATTCATTGAATGTCGTCATCTGGAAACACCGGCTCCGGTGGCTTGGACATGTGCTGCGAATGTCACCTCAGAGGCTTCCGTACAGGTCTCTGTTCGCTGGCCAGCCCTGGGACGGGATGGAAAAGGCGGAGAGGTGGTCAGCCCATGACGTGGCGTTGTGGGATGAAGGATTTCTGTGCTAGATTAGCATCGGTTGGTGTGTCACGACTCCCTGGTTGGGGTCTGAGAGATAGCTCAAATCGATGGCTAGAAACGTTATCGGATATGGCCAAGAATCGTAATCAATGGCGAATGTGTTGCGATTTCCTTCTTTCTTCCATTCCCGATGATAGTTAACGAACACTGTTTGAACCTGTTAAGAATGAGTGTTTTCCTTCCAGATGAAGTTCTTTATTCGTTCTCTACTTATATATATATTTTTTCTTTTCCTGCCTTCCTTCCTTTTTTTTCATCTATGTTGTTTTATTATTATTGTGTGGCGCATCCTTCTTAGTGCCATATTGTACCAAGTTCTAATGCGTTTAAATAAATAATAAATAAGTCAAGGATGGATCTTTTTTTACACATTATATGCTGTCTTCCAAGATGTTTCTTGAAGAATATCTCTTAGACTTTGGAATGTTTCCTATAATGAAACGGTGAAAAACAATCGGCAACCTTCGCTTTATACGATTAGCTATTTCCAACCTCCTCATATTCTGTTAATTTACGATTTGATCACTGAATATACTCATAGAATTAGAATGTGGTTCGCCGTCATTATGACCATGTGTAACTAGCGTCCCTACCCTGCCTCATGATTGGCACATTCTATGTTTTTACTCTGTAACGGTGACTTATGTGGTCTCATTGCATTCCTAATGAATTTCATTTTACTGTAAAAACACGGAATATAGTGATTCCATGAAATATAGCTGGATTTAATTTATACGATGGGTTAACCGGACTGCTATTCGGAAGGAGGAAAGGAGAGGGATAATAGAAATTGCATACTGTAAAAACGGTAGGATATATCTATATCGATAACAAAATCAACTAATGAATTACAGTGGTATAATATATTCTTATTCATTAAGATTAATTTCAGAACATATCACTGCAGGTATGATGTATGAAGTTCACATTCACACCCATAAGCCGAAAGGTATGTTATTTTCTTGGTTGCGCTTCAGAAGAATTTCGACTTTACCTGACTGCTCGTGTGAGGTGAGACAAAAAGTTAGTAACTGACGTTAGAAATGGAGTAAGGCATCTAAACCTTTCATTAATTACTGATCTTTTCTTTGGCGTTCATGTCTTTCCATCATAGCATGGTGAACTCTGTTCTTACCCTATTTGTATTGTAAATTCAATTGATACATTATTTCACAAAGTTTTACGTTGATTTTAATGTCAGTCTGATTGCTTCTAAAGGAGTTCCTTGAGCGACTGCTTCTGCAGGTAAGCTTAAATAGAACAGATTTGTCTATTGTTGGACATAAGAGAGCGGTGAAGCTACTTAACGGATAAATTTATTTTGGTTTTCCTCTGACTACCCAGAATATACCTAAAGCGCAACTGCGTGTTGATTATGAACCGTTTAGTGAAAGGTGAAAACCCGAAATACAAATTCAGCAGATAAGTGTGGTTCCTAATGCAAACAAAGACGTGTAGATTTATCTTCACATTGCACTCTCCATTTACGCTTTACTGAACAAGGTTGTTAGTTCCACTTTGTTTGTAGTCACACCTCTGTTTACTGTCTATATTATGCATTTCTCCTGCTTTCTTCTCTTGTTTGTGTGCTACATGGAGTGTGGCGACTTGAACTGCCACACATATGTGCAAAGTTCTATGTCGAAAACAGACAGACAGACAGACTTTGTTTGTAGACTATTATTTTTTTTATCGCTGAAAATAACCGCATGTTTATTTATTTTCCAAAAACATTTATTTTAATCATTTCCTCAGTATAACATGCAGTTTATTTGTTACCTATTAACAGACAATCAATTGCCTCATATTGTTTTGGGATATGATACTCGTGAGAGTTCGCCGGCGTTAGCAGTCGAAGCTAAACAAGGCATCGATATGATGCATGGTGTTTGCCATGAAATCGGTCTAGTAACTACACCTCAGCTTCATTATTTTGTCCAATATATTGTAAGTTACTAAAGATAAAATTTTTTACTGAAACTACAAAAACATGTGTTATAAAAATAAGACAATATGCTTTTATTTTCTATAGTTTGGTTTGTAAGGATTAGTTATATTTTACGAGTTGATCACGGACTGATATCAGTTAGAAAACAATTGAAAACCAGGGAGTACTGGACAGCTGCTGTTTCATCCTAGTTTGGGAATCATCGGAAGTACGCACCCACTGGGATTCGAACCCAGGACCTTCCGGTTACAAGGCAAGCTCGTATACCATTCAGCCACTGGGACCCGATTCAATGGCTCATGAATTCTAACTTCTACCAATTCGTGATTTTAGCGCGACCCCAACTATTGTCGTTGGTGCGACATCCATCCACACACGTGACTTCTAATTGGACCTCACTGGTCACGACTTCCTGGAGTTCTAGTGAGAAGTCGTGACCAGTGAGGTCCAATTAGAAGTCACGTGTGTGGATGGATGTCGCACCAACGACAATAGTTGGGGTCGCGCTAAAATCACGAATTGGTAGAAGTTAGAATTCATGAGCCATTGAATCGGGTCCCAGTGGCTGAATGGTATACGAGCTTGCCTTGTAACCGGAAGGTCCTGGGTTCGAATCCCAGTGGGTGCGTACTTCCGATGATTCCCAAACTAGGATGAAACAGCAGCTGTCCAGTACTCCCTGGTTTTCAATTGTTTTCTAACTGATATCAGTCCGTGGTCAACTCGTAAAATATGCTTTTAAGCTACAATTTCAGCATAACTCGAGTGACTCGGCGCTAGTGGTGTGAGTCCCTGAGTTGATATGGGATATGGGTACAAACCATTGGTTTGGAACCTTTTTCTAGCTGTCTCTTGTGTATTCTTACTAATGAGCAAGACATTCACGTCCTCCTTTCAGATTTAAGACATTTTTCTTCTATGTTTTGTGAAAAATGCGTATTGAGATATTCTGATTGCAACCCGTCGGTTGTAATCATATACTATACATAGGAATTACTTAGTTAACCAACAGAATAGTTCCTGTATCTATTCAAAATATAATTATGATGTAAAACTTGCATTTCTAGGCGCTGTCAGTATTATTTTATTTTTCAGTAGTTATTACTTTCCAATGGGTTCGCTATGAATTTTACTGTTTCGCCGAAACAGTTTAATTATCTATTATTCTTTGTAAATTCACCATCCTTATGAACATAAGTTTCTAGTTCTGTATTCAATACGTTTTCGATGAAGTTACTGTTCTCCAGCTTCCTTGTAGTGTAATAACCAGTGTGTGTACTAAAATCAGAGTTGCGAAACGGAAGAATCCTTCGAGAGCCTTTCATGTAATGAGTTATACATGTTACCATTATTATTATTATTATTATTATTATTATTATTATTATTATTCATTGCTTGTATTCTAAGCGGAAGCAGCGCATCTCCATCCCACTGGGCTCTATGCCATCACTTTCAGCTGATTAATTCTGTAACTGATCTCAAGCCTTCATATCCTCCTCACATAATGGCCACCATGTCACCATTGGACTTCCAACGTCTCTCTTCCCATTCAGCTTCCACTCGAAGATCAGACGTGTAATGTTGCTCAACAGTCTCCTCAGCATATGTCCAATCTATCTGTATTTCCTTCTGCTTGTCTAATTGGAAGTAGGTTGTTGGTTAGTTCGTTGTCTGTCGGGGTCCCCTGTTGCTTATCCATCTCAGCTGGCCATCTGGACTTCAGTACCAAAAAAATAAAGGCATCTGCTGACGAATGTCCGCAGCAGACTTATTGTGACGCGCGCGGCAAGTTCTGAAATGGATTGACACTAGTGTTGAACATAATTCGGATCTTGTTCGCGGTGCTGAGTGCTGTAGATCTCCACATTGATTTCGCAGTAATAAACGCTTGTCTGTCTTGCTTTTCCAACCTTGACTTACTCCAACATCCTCATTCGTGCCGCCTTTAGCTAAAATGGGGCTATGCAGAAGAGTTATATAATTGTCCGCTATTTTGACCTGTGTGTTTTGCAGAAACCCCAAATATTCAAACTAAATTATCCTGATGGTTTATTTACAGTGTCCTAAAAATCCATCACACGGAGTAGGTGCAGTGGGATTCAAACTAAAGACCTACTGGCTAAAAGCCATGTGTTTAAGTGATATAGTTGGGGGCATCAGTGAATAAGCAAATGTATTGCTTGCTATCTGTACTAGTCAATTCCTAGTACACTCTCACCTCGTTAGTGGGAAGGAGAGTTCTGTGATATTTAACCAACATGGACCAAAAATAAATTGTCTAAAAACCTTGTTTTAAGCGTGTAACCGAAATTCTTATACGTTGGCATATTTTACAGCTTCTCAAACTATTAGTTTATTTCAGACTGATATTTCATAATATCTAGTACAATTGCTTTCTTAATTTTTTCAATTGATTGACTAATTAACAGAAATAGAATCCCATTGACTAAGGGTTGCTGAGAAATTTAGGTCATTGGAAATCTCTGGAGTTAAAATTTGGTATATTGCCTAGACGTTTAGCGCGCTATATATATGTATATGTATACATTATTTTGAAAACGTTATGGAATATTAAGCCACTTTATTAATGTGTATCTCAGCGACTAGTCATTTGGCCTATTGTGTTTGCTGGTGACTGGCAGTCGAATCTAGAATGAGCATTTTCCCCATTTAGGTTTCATCATTTGAATGTACGTGCATTCCCAGTAAGTGATGGTGTTCCGTCGTGACCCAGTGGATAATACTTTGGCGTTTGTAACTGTGGGTGCAGAGTTCCAGTTTCATCGGGTACACCATCATTCTCTGGGCATGCAGCTACATCCGATTAATAAGTCCAACATAAGATGAAGTGTGCATCCTGGATTTCTCTGCTAGTCTGTTAGACCAACTAAGATAACTTCATGTTAATCCTAAGACATCGAGCGTCCGTACTAGGAGACGATGTATATTCACAGAGATCAGGTGTTTTGATTCAACATAATGAAGCAATGTTAGGTGCAAAATTAAAGTAAAAAGAATTCAGTTGTCATATGTTCGATGAGATTTATTTGATTGCATCATTTCTGTATTCCTTATTTCTTCACCTTAGAATACAAATAATATTATTGGCTCAAACCAATTGCCTGATTTGCAAACTATTTATGTTGATCAGTTTGCTGAACGTTTCACTGCAGCTTTAGAGAATCTTCAAAGTTGTAATGAATCGATACATTTAAATGTTGATTGTGCACATGGTGTTGGGTATAAAGTACTGGAAAATTTCAAGACATATTTTTCTTCTGTTAAAAGTCCACGTAGATTAATTTTACATTTATACAATAAGGAAATAAAGAAATATGAACTCTTGAATGAAAAATGTGGAGCAGATTTTGTAAAGGTTAGCTTTTGTTTGTCTAAATTGTATACATTTAACGTTTTGAGAATTTGTTTGCACTGGTACGATGCTCATTAACATGTTCTTCCATACCTTTTGCGGTTATCATGTACCACAAGCGTACTTCTATAATTTCTAATATCCTAAGTTTACTGTTGTATTTTATTCTTCAGTTTCTCTTCGAATCAATGAATGTTTCGTGTACATTCGTCAAGCAGGCAATGAGTTACACCTACCATGTGATTATTCTACTAATTATTCAAACACAAAATAGTTGTAACAGGGGCACCAAAAAATTACCTCAGACGAAGTAATACAGTGCATATCAAGAAAAGAAATATAATCGAGAAAGTTACAGGGTGATGAAGCAAGAGTTCTCATTTAGCGCAGCAGTTTGTAATATTTCCGATTATAGAAGGGGCAAGGGTAGCACAGTATGATTGAGATTGATTCTGAATTGTATCTGATAACATCAAAAGCCTATACTAACATATACTAATTCAATATCTATCACCATTGTTCCAATCCAGCTGGGACAATGTAGGATAGTGAATTATCCGTAAAATTCAGTCCTGTCTTATATACTAAGCGGTATGTTTATCTCTTATGGAATAGATAAAGCTTAGTATCCGGTAGGTAAATATTCATGTAGTCACTTGTATGCACAAGATCATTATGACGTTGAAACTATCCGTCTTAAAAAATTGGTTGTAATTATCATACATTTCGCGGATAGCTTTCTGTCACCAAGATAGTGCATTGGTCATATGGCAAGGGAAAATAAAATAACATTAAAAATTTCAGAGGAGTAAATGAAATGAATTATTCTGAGCATTTAAATATGATAACCAGTTATTTAACATTTAAATTTATCACTAACTTATTTTTTCTGGTTTCAATAAATAATTGCTATATTCGGCATATCAGACTTCTGTTTTGTGAACATTAAAATGAGTCCGTGTTAATTCCAAGTCTGTCAAAAATTTGAGGATCTTGATGATACTACCTCATGTTAGTCACGGCGGCACAGCTGTGTTTACTTTCCATCAAGAAGACCTATTTCCTCTCATTGCAAAACATCTATTTTTGCTTTATTGTAACATCTCAACACATTTGTTTTTATTCTCTTTTGGTTTGGTAACTTGAAACGAGACACTACTACAGGCTCTAGGCCAATCTCTCTATCTGTCTATAGTTCAGCATAGAATTTCATTTTTTCTTGTTTTGTTTTCAAAACACAATGTTGATAAATGCTCTCGTAAAGCAGTTAGAGAATGTTCAACTTCTCAAACTACAGTTATTTTGGTTATTTGCCAACTGTTTACCGTTATGTATGCTAGTTTATCGTCATAATCTTTTCTTCTTCTTCTTATTATTATTATTATTATTATCTTCTATGGTACATTTTTTCATATCTGTACTGGGCTAAGTTTAGATAAGCCTAATGAAATGACAAGCTAAGGAAAAAAATACATTCTTTGATTACAGAGCACTAGTGCCATAATTGTGGAAATGGGTAGGTATTACCACTATACATTCTAAAATAATTACTGCACTTGAATGCAAAGTTCTACTCTGAAAATTCAGTACAGTCCAATCCAATTTGCCTACGCCACAACTACGCTCATTAACTATAAATTTACAAAACAGAAAATAAGGAAATCAGATTATTACAGCCAAAAAAGCATAAGACGTCATAAAAGAAAAAAAGCCCGGAAAGGTTGGTGTGATGGCTGAAGCATGAGGTTGCATTCAAAATGAGAATAAAACACAAGTAACATCTGTATCACTGCAATGTGTTTTAAGGTAAGTCATCTAGAATCCGTCAACAACAGTTTCAGCAGTCTTGTGAATACTGACGAATGAAAATCACATTTCTCTAGCTCGTTCAAAACTCATAACCACTGACGGTGTGTATCAGTATTTGAGAATTTAAATTCTTTGGTTTTAAAATCAGTAGTTCTGGTGTAGTTACATCCTTGCCCTATATTGGGTATTGTCTCATCTTACACTCTCGGTCTTCACTGCAACTCTTGTCTCTCTTCTTTTGTTCTGATTATTATCGTAATTGTTTTTTGTGAAATATATACTACTGAGTGCAGCCGATGAAATTTTTTGTCAGGTTTCACAATATATTTTTCTCCTGTATCTTCATTGGCTTTGATTTACAACAGGAAAATACTTGAAATTTGGCATTGAGATTTGCTTCATTTATTTTTTTTAGATTACAATGCATACACCGAAATTAACTCCACCTCAAAAAGAATCTATCATGTATCCTGATCGATGGGCAACAATTGATGGAGATGCTGACAGACTGATTTATTTTCGACCAGTTCTTACCAACTGCACACTGTCGTCAGAAGACGCTAAGATTTGTGAAGGTGGTAATGATGAATCACATGCAGTAGGTGTTTGTTCTCAATCAGTTGAACTTCTAGATGGTGATCGTATATCATGTCTGTTTGCTCATTTTCTAGTCAAAGTCTTAAAGTCAGTTTCTTCTGAACATGATTTAACTATTGGAGTAGTTCAAACAGCTTATGCCAATTCTGCGTCTACTCGTTATTTAACTGAACAACTCAATGTATCAGTAGTCTGTGTACCGACTGGTGTCAAGCATTTACATTATGCTGCACAAAATTATGATTTTGGAATTTATTTTGAAGTAAGTTTGTTCACTGGTGTTTGTGTCAAGTAAAACATGAAACTTAAGAGTTATGCAATAATAATCGTTGAATGTGGGGAATACGAAGAGTAAGAAGAACCTAAGACAGGAAGAGAATCGCATCTAAAGTTAGAAACTCGTGTATGGGCAATATAGTAGAAAATACCGTGCCTGACCATTCAGGCAACCTCTATTAAAAAAGTGCATTAAGCACGATTCTCTGTTCTAACACTGCTCAATTCAGAACGCAATGCTGGTAAGTGGATTAAGAGTAAGACATACTTTCAGGGGTCTGAAGTATAAAAATATGATAATATAAGTAAACTGAAAAATTGCTGAGTTGGTGAGGTGATAGTTGAGTATGAAACAAAGACCTTAGTTTCGCTAGGCTTCGTACAGTGACCTAAAATTGTCAACTAAACACCCTGCTAACAATTCAGTCTCTCGGTTCAGTTCCAAATGACACTGTAATCTAGTTTCTCCTTTCAGTTTTAATCGTCATTAAAAAGTTTTCCATATGTTTTACTTAGTTACTGAGCATTATTATTATTACCTTCATGCAACGTAGGCACCAAGAAATATGCTTTCGAATTGGTAGAAAAAATAAAAAAATACGGGGAGATAGACATACTTGGAGAAAAATGGCGATGAAGTTGGTGTTCTCATTAAGTAATTTCGAGGTAATATTCATCACATTGTAATACTTTAGGCAGTAGAAGGAAGGATGGTGCATCATGATTGCGGTTGATTTCCGATTCCGAACCATATCTGATGACGTTTGGATCCAGTCATATACATTTATTTTATTATTATTGGTTCCTTAGATTCCAAGTGGAACGTAGGGCTTCAACAACACATCTCCACTCTGTTCTGTTTTCTGCTATCCTTCTCAGCTGAAACACAATTGCCCGTAGTCTCTCATTTCCTCTCCGCACGATCTTCGCTGTCACCCTACGACTACCCAAGCGCCATTTCTGATTCGGATTCCACTCGAGCAATGGCCTGCATTGAGCACGATGTCATTTGACGGACTACTCAGCATATGCCCAATTCATCTCCATTTTCTGTTACATATTTGTTGAACCTTAGGTTAGTTTGTTCCCATAGTTTCTTGTTGTTAATCCTTTCTGGTTGGTCATTCGATCTTCAATTTAGAGCGAAGGCAACTGTTGATAAAAGTCTGCAAGCTGTTGTGAATGCTTTTCGTGTCACGCCAAGTCTCTGACCCATATAACAGAAGTAACTCACTTCACATTTGTGTTGGAAATCCGAGTCTTGTTGTTCATGCTGAGTGCGGGAGATTACCAAAGTGATTTCACATTTACAAGTGTTGGTTTGAAGGGATTTGATTTGGTTGGTTGCGTGGCCTCATCATGAGCTGGAATCGGCTAGACAACCATTGGAAAAGCTAGTAGTGCTGGACAGACGTTTCGTCCTCGTTTGAGACTCTTCAGGTTGACGAAGGTGTATCTTGCCCTTCCGACTCTGGCTGGCCTTGACATCTTCATCCATTCCGACTGCCTGTGGTTGAAACGATGCTTCCTAGATAAGTGAGGGAAGTGACCTCTGTCACACCTCTCCCGTTGATGTTGATTGGTGCTGGTTGTTGTTGGTGTTGCTGTGGGTTGATTATCTTCATCGCCTTTGTCTTCTCTGTGTTCACTCGGAGTTCTGTCTTCACTGCCAGCCTCTTCAGCCAAATTGTTGGTTGGTTGCCCACAAGTCTTCGAGTTTGTGTGACATCAGACATATATCATCCACACGGGAAGTTCAGATCTTCTAGATTCTTCTCATCGGTCAGTGCAACGTATTCCTGTCTTCGCACTCCCCACGCACAGTCTGTTGCATAATCCAGTTCATCATAATTAACAATATCTTTGGTGATAATAGGCAGCCAGCTGGTCTTGCTCCTGTACTCACTTCAAAGGCTTAGCTGAGTTGTCCGTTTTGGACCACATGACTGACACGTGGCATTGTCATATAGCTGTTGAACGAAGCTGATAAAGATTACCTCTTGGTCAACGCTGTCGATGGCCTATTCAGAGTCGATGAAGTTGAGGTAGTTATTTGACTGCCATTCCATGCATTTTTCTGTAATGATGATGCTCAGAGTTGCATTTCGGTTGGCATATGATTTTCAATTCCCGAATCCATCTTGTCCTGGCCTGTAGGAGTTGTGCATCCATTGCATCTTTCATTCTACTCAGGATTACGCGAGTCAGTATTTTACCTGACGGAGACAAGAGCATTATTCCACACCAGTTCTTGCAGATTGGGGCCTGAGTCGCCCTTCTTTGGTAGCTTGACAAAGCAGCTAGCCTTTCTTCCAATCGGCGGGCAACTTTCCTTCCACCCAAACCTTTTTCAGTAATGGCGTTAGCACATCTGCGGCTGCCGCTGGGTCTGTTTTCAGGGTTTCGGGGGGAATTCCTTATGGGCCTGCTGCCTTCCTGACCGGACTTCAGTAGCTTGATCCCACTCAGGATTTCTGTTTTCGTTGGGCGATTGGTGTCCACTGGCCGGCAGTTCTGTGCATGTTGTTGTTGGTGGTGTATTTCTGGGCGAGTTGCAGGTGATGGTCGATCCAAGAGTCCTTAAAAGTTATCAGCCCATCGTTTTATTTGTTTCTCCTCCTTGGTGATTAGGTTCCCTGGAAGATCTTTTGTTGGTTTCGTCATCTGGGTTGCTCTCTTTCCGGATAGCGAGCAGCCTGGTCATCTGATATAGTGTTCTGAGGTCTCTTTTACCTGCGGCCTGCCTGTTCTGCTTCTGCTGCCAGCCAGTGTGTCGTAGCATTGTCTTTTGTCTTTCCCAGCACTCTTCTTCACTTCTTTATTCAGTACTTTGTACACTGAACTCAGTTCTCCTTCTGTTGTCCATCTTTGCATTGAGTCATGTTCTGTTTCACCATCCTCTTCTCTTCTATCAGCTTCCAGGTATATGTCGACAGTCATTCCTTGTCTTGCCTCTTCTCTCTTCCTAGAACAGTTGTACACGGTTCCTTGAACACCACTTTCAGAAAGTTTTCCCACACAGGTTTCCTCAGTGATGCCACGTAGTGTCTCCAACTTTGATGTGATATCTGCAGTGAACGTGTCTTTTGTGGTTTCCTCCTTCAGTTTCTGAGTGTTGAACCTGAATTGTGGCCTGTCTCCAGTTGTCTTTAAAGGCTTTGCCTTGCACCAGGTAGTGATCTGCGCCCACATCTGGTCGCCTCCTCGACTTTGTGTCCAGCAGACCGTATATGTACTTCTTTGAGATTGAAATGGAGTCAATCTGGTTTGTGGTGTGTCCGTCCGGCGAAATCCATGTCGCTGGCCTTGTGTATATCATTGTGTTTGTACACGCTGTCGCCGATCACCAAATCTCTGAAGGGTCAGAAGTCAGCGAAGAGTTCTCCATTGTTGTCCATTCTGTCGAGAGCCTCTCAATACATGATGGATTCTCTTCCTGTGTTGTCTGCTCTCAGTTTGGTTGTCATTCGTATCATCGGTAAGGGTTTTGATGTCGGCATTTGGGATGTTGTCCATTACTGTTTGCAGTTGTCTATAGAAATCTTCCTTCTTCTCTTGTCCCAGGTTGTTTGCAGGATTGTGTGTAGCCTTGGACAATTGTGACCTTCCTTTCTTCCTTCCTTCTTTTTGAGTTGGATCTTGATGTCATGATCCTGGAGGAGGAGATTGGTTCCCACTGCATTAGAGCTTTGGCCGCTATTCGTAATATCATGATAGCCACTCATTGCCTCAGTGTGCTCGTGATTGTTGTCTGATTGACCGGAGTAGATTACTGACTCCCCAGTTGACAATTCTGATAGTCCACATCCATCTCATCTGCTCTCGCAAATTCCGATCAGTTCTATACAGTATCTTGTCATTTCTTTGACTAGCTGGAGAGCCTTCCCAGCTTCATACATTGTACGAACATTTCACGTCCCCATTCTTACTTTTGTTTTTATCGACAGAAGACATTGGCTGTCTGACTGGCTTCCCGATTGCATTCACCAGGCTGTATCATTTCGCTTTTCCAATTCCAGAAAGGATTAGTTTGTTCTTTGTACTTTTAGTATTTTCAATGCGTCTTTTTCAATATGCTTTGAAGTCTCTGTAGTAGTTTGATTGGTTTTGTGGTGTAGGGTGGCTGGCCCTACGCCCACCACTCTCTGTTTCCAGGCTTGGGATCGGCTAGAAAACTAGTAAACTATGCGAGGTTAGTCATATGCATGATGTCATAAAACCCGCCTATGGTGTTATGCTTCTCTAATAGTTGCTAACCCCACTCAAGTATTCGTCATGTGTCTATGATGCGACATGGGTTGATCAAGTTTGCTTTTCTGTGTTGTTAATCTTAGGGCTTCTGAAGCTATCTGTTCTTTTTCATGTCGTCAGCTTTTTGAGATGCTCAGATAATGTTGTCACCAAATGCAATGGCCATGTTCAAACAACTTCAGACAACGAATTCCTGTAAATAAGATTTTTATTAACCAGAAAAACAGCGCACCAACACGCCGTTGTGACATCCGATTTTTGATTAGGAATCTTACTACTACATTATCGTCATTAATATGTGAATTTCTGTCTGCTGAGGTTTGACAGCAGATAGAGCACCGTGTCTATGTGTAGCGAAAACTTTTGACGCTAAGGCTTTGAAGATCAAATATATTACATTTCCCGATCTTACCACTGTATCGGGTTTTTAGGGCACTAAGAAAGCTATGCAGGCACTATCTAGACGAAACCTAACTTGCTCTTCGCGAATCAGTTTTTCACTTGTTTTGTAATGTTTATGAAGTATAACTAATAAAATTCCTGACACAACTGATTATTACTGTAATGATTGTTACAAATTGAATAGTGTCTCTGTGTGATGATATATAATAGTAATCCCCTACTTGACAGCTGCAGCGCTCTGTTCCCAAACTTCTCTAACATTCTACTCGATTCCTGTGGTTAAAGTAATTTTTCATTCTGAAAAGAGTATGAGTTTAAAGTGGTTTGCACTGAGTATGTACTACCACTTAAATACTTAGGTTTTCCTCTGAAATTCCATTTCATCTATTATGAAAGTGTTAATCAACCGTAAAGCAGTATCCTTTTTATTAGTTACTGCTACAGACTCAGGTTTGCGGTTACCAGGTTAAATAAAGCTTCTCTAATCACTTGAAGTTAGTGTTGGCCAAGAGAAAATTGTTATCTAGACAAAATTGTAAGCGATGATCAACATTGTTTGTTTCTTGGTATGAGACACTATAGTACCTCTAATATGTCCTCTCATCTGTCTCAGCTTTCCTAAGTAAGCATTGAAATCACCTATTAATGTAACTGTATTTGAGCGTCTTTTTGTTAACATCAAGCCAATCAGCTTGATCACTTTGTTCGAACTGTAATTAGCATAGATTACAAAACGGCATCCAATTTTTAATTTGGGCAGTTAGATAAATCCAATTGTGAAACGGAAATCTCCAGCCGAAGACTTATTAAACACATGGTTTATTAACCGAATTCAGGTATTGAAAAACCCATTGTATAGCTGGCAGAGTTATTTTTCCCAACTTTGAATGGTGTTTTGCTGGCCAAGATAGTTAGAGATGATTACAGAGTTAAAGTAGGGAAACTTGGTAGGTAGAGCAAAATGAATGGAGTAGATAAATATTAGGTTCAGTCTTTTGATACTAGTCATTTTTGGGAAGCTGATTTCCCCTTGAAGTATCTCATGTACCCAGCATATTAATTTTGGGCAATATTACAAACCAGAGGACTAGTCATACTCAGCTTGTTCAGGAATGTTGGGAATTGTGGAGTTCCGTACTTTTCGAGACTGTGTTGGTATGTACTGGGTTTGAAGTGGACAAGTCATTATCGGGAAAGGATAACTTTGCTAGTTTTGGTATGATCAGCAGTCTGTTGACTCTGAGATAGCTAAGAAATTATCAGTGGTTTCTAGTATTTTTAGGCGTCTACAAGCTGAGAGCACACTAAACTACGAAGTTTGTTAGATGCAAACTGACATTGAATTTCACATTAGTGATAAGAAGTGGTGAGGTGTGAAAGTTAAAGAGCACAGCCCTCACTAACTAGCATAACTCACAGAGCTGGTAAGCTATTCGATTCCCCGCTTAGTGTCGGAAAAACTGTTCGGCGGTTTGTCCTGTCCTACTATATGGCTTTAAAACTTTGCTGTTAAGGTCAGGAAACTTTCTGTGAGTTCATTGGTCTGTTTGATTTCGGTTGAATCGTCACGTAATTAGTGTGAAAGTTTGACAACATAGGTAACTCAGTTAACATTGTAAATTGCTGTCACCTTCGGTGACTGGCATTTGTGTTATACATGCTTGTTCATCATGTACTCCAACTACTACTACACAGTGAAAGTAGAAATAAGTTGAAAGAGAACTAAGGCAGGCCGAATTGGGATAGGACGATAAATATCAATTTAAGTCGCGTACGTCTATAGATTATCCAGAGGGTTATGTGACGGCGAAAATCTCTAGCTAGTTTCTCCGGATGTTATTATTCAGAAACGCCGGATATATATCTTATTTCTCCTTGTCGGTATTTATTCAGTCCTTTAGCACTCTAAGAGCTCAGTCGTGTTACTTCTGTTCCTTTTCCTTTCTTTTATCTCTGTCTTAGTGTCCAGATGTCAGATGTAGTGTCTTCGACCACTTTACAGTAATGCTGTATCCTGTGTTTGGAATGCTTTCGCATAAGCTTGTTTCTGTCGATTACAAACATCATTCAGAGAGCTGTTGAAATCGAAATGCCTCGGACAGTTTATTCGTCCTATTTTGCGAATGTTGAATACTCATCCACATCTTCCTTCTTATTAAAACTCGGGTTTGTCTTGTCTTAGATCGACAAGTTGCTTTTAAACCATCGTATTAGAATCTGACAATTTGTTTTTGACTTATTCCAATTTGTATTAAGTACAACCATCATTCGGTGACATCTGTAGATAGCTGTACCCATACGTCGATTGTTTATCGTCCGAATGCGGTGTCTTAAGGGCATTATCGTTTTACGGGTTAGGAATCTCATTAGCCTCATAATCAGTTACATTAATATTTCTGTTATCAGTCTCATGGTTTAAGATTTCCTTTTTTATAATTTTCGTTAAATTTGATGTCTTTTTCTGAAAAATAAAGTATTTTGTCGCTTCATATCTCATTTATTTATGAGCATTTATTTCTCAACTTTTTTATTAGGCAAATGGACACGGAACAGTCTTGTTTTCTACAAAAGTTCTGAACTTTGTAGAAAATTTGAATGTAAATAATCCACTACGAACGTTTGTTGATTTAACGAATACATCAATTGGAGATGCTATAGCTGATATCCTATTAGTCGAATATACTCTGGCCTGGTTGAATTGGTCACTTGTTAATTGGTTTGCCATATATAAAGATTTACCATCGAAACAGTTGAAAGTTACTGTTGCTAAGCGTGATGTTATTAAAGTTACATGGGATGAAAGATCTATCACAAATCCAGTTGAATTACAAGTTAGTTATTGTTTTCAGATCATGTTGTTTTGTGAACCTTATTTATAGTTGAATCACTTCAAATAATTCAAAAAAATCAGTTTTGTTCCAGTTTGCACTTATCTGTAAAATATGCTTGTAGCTATAGAGAAATCGATCTACCTCTGAGAGTTTCATTTATTAGTGGGACATTGAAATTGTTATCTTCTTGGAGTGTTAAACAGCATAAACTAGTAAGCTCACGATATCTTGCTGATGACCTCGAAATATCTAGATATAAAAATATTGTTGAGCGATGTGACAAACTTATATTGTATATGTTCACAAATAAATTGCATAGATTTGTGAATGTTCGGCGCTCATCACCAAACTGGGAAAAATGGGGAGTTCACCTACGAACTTAAAAAGACAGTGATCCCAACTCTATGGCTCGGATATTCTCCAGAGTCCAAAAGCAATAAGCGGCGTGTAAGCCAGTTTGGCTCACTGACAACCTTGTTAACGAAGTTCCTGAGTTCGCTCTGTTGCTTTGTGCATCAGACTTCAAGCCGAAACCTTGGGGACTGATACCTTAAGATATCTATATGCTTCATTTCGGGTGCCCAGACAGTGTTTCACCCTTCAAATAAGTTATGGAACAAAAATTCATCGCGCCCTTTACTTAATCGATCAAATAGTCGGTCATTATCATTGCATTTTTAGCAGTATTTTCATATATGAGCTATCCTATTTTATCTCAATCATCGTTACGTTTGTTACTAACTTTATTCTTGTCAGCTGTTTGTTATAGTTTGAAATCACACTCTACCTGGGCTGTTTTCAGAAAGCTAGCCTCCAGTGTGTTATTTAACACATCTATTTTGACACTCATCTCGTCTCTAAGCTTACCACCCTCAACGTTTGCATACTGATCCAAATTGAATAGCATACGAGTCTGGTTATAGCTCTTGGGAGCCTCACCCTTGAAGTATGCTGGATCTCAGAGAATACATACAAGATCCCAGTGAGGTTGTCCGAATAGCTTTTCATGTAGAACAGTACGTTTCATGTGTTCTTACCTGAAAGCCCTGTCACTGTGACTGGTATCTGTTTTGTATTAAGTGGTTGAGTCGTAACTGCATTATTTAACTGGATCTCTATTAAAATCAGTTTGTGTATTGTTAGGCTGGAAAATTTTATGACTGTGATGAGCACCTAACTAGAGAAGCGCTTTCGTTTCGTTATTTCTGGCTACGCACTGACGGATTTCAGCTCATGTGTAATTTAGGTTGAGTTCTAGGATTAAATCAGTGACCTGACGAGACTTTTTGAAGATAAGGAGCCAAGAGGCTTACTACTTCAAAGAGTTCCTCACTAAGGTTTTGCTAATTGCTTGTAACTCGAAGCAGATATTGCGTATTATAAAGTGTGTAAAATTCTTACGCATAAAATAGAAGAATGCTTAGTGGAGATCGCTAAGTTTGGTGGTCAGAAAGCGTCGATTACATTTAGCAATGGTTGGAAGTCTGGTTGAAGTCACCAGCAGCAAAAAGCATGGTTACAGCCAGATAGTCTGTGAAGTAACTTGCACGACAACTAGCCACCTTTAAAGGGAAAGCAAACGAAGGTATGTTAGCTGCTGCTGCTGCTGGATTCAACATAGAACTTGGCACCGAAGTGCAGCAGTTCGAGTTGCCACGTTCCAAATAGCACACAAAGGTAGACAAGAAAATGAGTGAAGAGAATCAATAGAGTTTCGACAAGTATAAGAGTGAAATAGAATGAATAATGGTAGAAAGGAATGTGAAAGATTACAGAGACTGAATACATCTGCGCCATTGACAACGATTTTGGCCCATGTCACCTATTGTCTCCGGCCATTGATTCTTAGAGTCCCGAGGGCCCCAACCCGGAAGTCTGCATCTCCCTACCTGACTCAGTTTAACTGTCAGGGATTTCATGGATTGATGCCATGTTTTTGTTTGGTCACCACTTACTCTTTTCCAACCTGCACCTATATCAGCTAGTAATGCCCGTCGGGGGAGGCGATGGTTAGGCATGCGCAGCACATGACCTAGCCATCTCAATCTATGTAACTTTATAGCCTCTTGAGGTATGTTAGCAATCCATGCAGTCATACCGAGGTGGTCATTTTGTTACTCATTGCTTTGATCCTGTCCTTAACTTTCACGTCCTATATCCTCATTTTATGACATGTATGTAATTGACGGAAATTTAACTTATTTTGGCAATGCAATACAAATACAAATCTGAGCATATAGGCTGAGTTTTTTGAGTGATCGTAATTTAAATCGTTTTCATAATTATAATAACAATGGTAATAATCTGTTGTGAAACCAGTGTGACCTTGACATTAACTATACTTCCAATATCATTAAACACAACACTCTATGTTTATTTTATGATGTTATTTGAACATTTTCATGTCAACAGTAAAGTCAAGCAATGTAAAACACTTTTAAACTAATTGCTCAAATGACTCACATACATTTTTATCGCGACTGTTGGGTGTGATAATAATATTGTTACACTTCATTTTTTCAATTTTAGTTGAGTCAACTTTTTATGACATGATTTACGGTATCATTTTTATTTATTAAAGTGACATTTACAGTGCTGTCACTAGCAATTGCATTTGCAACATGCAGTTTACACTGTTCGAGTGGTGAAATTCCACCGAAGTTATTCAGATCGCAACATGTGATTTGCTTAGTACCCTAAATGACGATCAAGAAATATATATATATATATATATGCAAATTAACTTGCAGATTGCAAAGTTGATTTAACGTGATACCATTTCGTCCAAGCAGCTAGACAGAATCCGGGTGGTTGGAACTGATTCAGTCCTTTGAGCTGATTCAAAGTGAGTACAACGCCGATGTGTTCGGCTCCAAATGAGTAGAACGGCCGGTGGGTATTCATATCTTGGCCTGTAATGTTGTCTGGTTATGAGAACTCTAAACATTTTTCTTATGTTTGTCATAGATGTGAAAAAATTACTGTTTTAAAAATGTTGGCGGTATTGAAACAAAAAGTGTAACGTTTCGTTTGGCAAATATCGCAAATGTAACTTTTACATATGTTTACATTCCTGTCAGCACCCAATATTTACAGATCAGGATTCATAAAAGAATAAAAGCAGTTTATATGTTGATTGTTATTTCAGTCGAAATCCGACAGAGTTTAAGAGCGCTGATTGTTTTCAACTGTAGTCCTTTTTCTCTTTTTTCTATCCAATGTATCTTTCTCAGTGTCTCCTGCTCTGGTTGTTATTGCATGTAATATTTTGACTTTAATTTAACTAATTAGTCGGTATGTTCACTATTCCCCATAGGTCGCTATCGATGAAGCTGTTAAACAGGTGGATAAATCACTTGGTAAAATTGGGATATCACGGGCGTTCGTTCGTCCTTCAGGCACTGAAAATGCTGTACGTGTTTATGCCGAGTCTTATACACATGAAGCAACTGACTGGTTAGCGGCAACAGTTTGTGTATTAACTTACCAACTGGCTGGTGGAATTGGTCCCCAACCCACTACTCCTGAACCTCTTTCTCTTAATTGTAGTTAATTAGTAATTTTATTTATAAAAACGGAACTAAATATATTACAATTTTATGTCTTTCCTCGTGTTTTTAGTTATTATTATGTTTCTCTATTATCAGTGATTTTGTTTTTGTTGTGATTTCTGCTTTCACTTGTTTAATTTTTGGCTACACACAACATATGCAGTTGTTAATTTTTATTATTTGATGAAGAGATAATCCGTGTAATTGTAATACTTCACTATGCAACGCGACAAATACATATATATTTACAAAGAATACTATTGTGTGCATTTTGATATCGTCTGATTGCTATGTTTGGTTTTTTCTTAAAGTTCAACCATTTTTTCCACTGTTAATGTGATGAGTGGTAAAGTATGCTGGTTCATTGGCTAAGTTGCTTGTGAAGGAAATGAAAAAGGTTGTAAAAGAGTATAGAAAAAAAGGAGTAGTAGAAGGCGAGGAAAACTGTAGATAAATATACCTAACTGAAAAACAATTTTTACCCCCTAAATGATGTTAACAGTGACAAGTTTAGTTTACATAGTACAGGCAACAGATATTAGTTGTAGTAGTTGTTGTAACAGTCTTTGATGCATAATAGGGTTTATCTGTCAAACACTTATGTAATCACAATTGTAAATTCATGATATAATTGCTGTGGAGACAATTCAAACTTAATCTATTAGTCAATTGTCAGAATACTCTGAATGTGAAGTTAGTCATTGGTAAAAACTCATCAAAAATAAAGAAGGTAGGACTGTTCATCAAGTGTTAGCTGTGTATCCCTTGTCGGTGATGAGAATGTCTAAATTTATTGAAATTGTTAAATACCCACCACTGTGGAAACTGCTCGTTTTCAGACTACGTGTTCTATTTGAGAAATAATGTGAAGAAAAATACTTCCAATCAATGAGTCCAGGGTTTTCATCCCACGCCACTTACTTCGGCTCTCACATAATGAGTGTGCCTCATAGGTGTTACATAAAAAGCTTCCTGTTAACTCAAAAGTTCCTTGATTATTGACTGAAATGAAATTTACTTACAGTGAGATTACAAGTCTTGATATAAGCATTAAACTTGGGCACTGTAATAGAGTATAACTCCATTATAGATAAGATTTCATTTTGATAAATCACAGTGTTATACAGAAATATTAACTGATGACGTTTCGAGCACAAATTATTGCTCATAATCATATCAAGTTGCTCACACAACTTTTTCTTTCATTTATATACATGTGTGGAATCGATTAGATATTGGAATAAAATTCAATATGAGATAATGTACATTCAGAAATAATAATATGAGTGTTATTGATCAAATACAACTAGATGGGAAATAAGACAAGTGTTTTTATAGTCATAATAAGTAACATGTTAGAATGTTGTAATGTGCTTGAATTGAAATAGAATTTTAAGATTATTTATTATCCTCTTCTGATATGACTGGCGGTATTAATATCTTCTATATTTCTGGTATTTGCATTAAGTCATTCCTATTGCATGTGTTGGGTGCAGACTCGATGAACAAGGATTCATACTCCTAAACTCTCACTTCTCGATATTTTTTTATTTCCCTAGATTGAATATTTCGATGGACAATTTTTATAAGATTCCTTTATATCTACTGAAAATACGTCCATGCATTGTCATACCTCACTGTAGTGGACGTTATTTACCTTCTGGTACACTTTATCGTCCACACCATGAGCGTTTCGATGAAAACTGTGAGCGAAGACCTCTACCGCATCCGGAAACTCCACGATTTCAAGGTATTTAGAGTAAATATAAATGCATTGTAATCCTTTTAAAATATGTTTTATTTAATCTTACGTTTTACATAATCATCTTCACATTTCACCCTTAAATAGTATGTCAACCGACTAACAAATATGATTTAGGTAATAGATAATGTAACCTATGTTTATTTAGCTTATTTCTGTTAGTTTCAATAACTTTTTCGTTTTTACTTTCCATAAAAAATTCTACGAAAGAAGCATACTGATGAGTTTCCATAGTAATATTTCAGTGTAGCTTATCTGGTCGACTTTTATGCTGCGATACTCCAGCATAGTACACACCGTCTTCCGGTGACATATTTATTTTTACAATCCATTTTCCTGGTTTCAATATTCTTAAATTTATAAGTTTTTTGAGTATTAGGTTCGCATTCGAATTCAGCATAATGACAGCCTGAATGTTTAGAAAATATTACCATCATTGTAGAAGTCTTTACGAACAGCAATCAGAAAACTATTGAAAACCATAGAACACAACAGCTATTTCATCCTTGTTGGGGAATTTTCAGCAGTAGGAGAGCATTTTGTCATTCAGATACTGAGATGGTACCCAACGACTCTTACGAAATAATAATTTATCGAGTGTTATGAATTCGTTTCACAGTGCACAAGAAATCCATTTATTGTAATGTATGACAGTTTAAATAAAGTATAATTATATTTCAATAGCTTACACACAATGATAAGTTTTGTTATCATTGTGTGTAAGCTATTGAAATATAATTATACTTTATTTGATCTAATCCACAATGCTCAAACTTTTTACTGATATTAAGTATAACAGTTTCCTACAGTAAAAAACCAAGCATAGTATTAGTGTGGCAGTGTGACACACCACGTATTCAATTAATACGCCTCACACCATTAATTGCCAGTCTTCGAATTCTCTCCGAATAGAATCTGTTATCTAGGTGTTTGCAGGGAACACGCTTCTGTTATTATTATTTTTATTATTGTTCCCTTGGGTTCCTAGTGGAACATAGGGCTTCAACTGCACGTTTCCACTTGTTTCTGTCTTCTGCTGTACTTTTCACCTGCATCCATGTTAGTCCATACTGTTTCAACTCCTCTTCACACGATTTCCTCCATGTCTTCTTTGGACGCTTCTGTTAAGTCTTTCTGAAACGTGATAAGAAAAGTTTTTAAATTAGGAGTAATTCATGACACTAACTGGCCCTTAAGTCCTCTTGCTTTGAATTCGTTCCCATTTTAACATGAATAGCTGCTGGTAAACCTGAAAGCTACGAATATGATGCTAAATGATATAAATAAGCAAGACACAAGTTCACTTCTTTTTGATCACTTAAGTGTTGGTTGACAGAAGAAGTAAACTACATTTTTTTCCAAATTTTTATGCATTCTGCTTTTACAGTGCCTTCAGTTTACTGTCGTACTTCAAGTGCAGTATTTTTGATTAGTGTCTTGACTTTAAACAAAATATAAACCTCAAGTTCTCATTGTCAGGTTATTTCTTTTGCACATTTAAATCAATAAAGTTGAAGGGGTCTTATAAAATGGACATGGTCTGTAGTGTCCTCAAATTTTTGTTAACTTTGGCACCCATAAAAAGTGTTGTATTCAAACGCATGCATAAGAACTTAATTCAAACGGATATGATATTATCAAGAAACGAGTTCCTAGTAAGAGAAAGATAGAGAGTCAGAAATGATGAGCGTGTGACGACGGGTCGAATTTATGATGAGGAGGTTGAATGTGATCTGCCATTCATAGAAATAGATACAGCGTGTTATCTTCTGGAAAAGCGGTGTTAATTTATATGACTCCAAAGCTACTGAAAACAAATACGTGACAGGAATTCAATTTCGAAGAGAACCAAATTAGGAGCCAAAAAAGAAGTATCAAATATCTCTTGTAAATAAAGGAATGAGTGCAAGGTTTGTTGTTTTAATAGTGTTGATTGCAATTGACGCTGATAAACAACTCATCTGTATTTGTCAATCTTTTTCGCTATTGTTACGCTGTGCTTATTAATGACCACTGCATGACACAAATTAAATTACAGTAAGTGATCACTAATTACTTTCGTTTTGATCCTCATTTGTTGTGACCTGTTTCTCATGAATGATTTGTTTAGCATAACAAACCTACTTACTGTTAGTAACACTAATTGATTTATTATTAACATTATAGAGGTCGCCTTGACAGATCCGAGAAAAAAGGCGAAAATTGCAGGAAAGAGACCATTCCATATGATTTGTGAACCTAATGAAGTGTACTGGTGGTGTTCTTGTGGCCATAGTAAACGTCAACCATTCTGTGATGGGCATCACATCCGTATATTGGGAGCGAACCCAGCTTTTAAAATCAACAAGCCAGAGTTCAAACCAATTCGTTTAGTTTATAAACAGTGAGTTTGTTGTGTTAGCTCGTAATTTTTCTCACATATGCTCCTAGCATTTTTAAAATGCAGTTTCATGTTTTCAATGTATTGGTGTAATTTGAATGACTAGTGTACATTTGTGTCGTTTTATTCACTAATTGCATTCTTGTAGTCGTAGATAGTGAATTGTATTACTAAGCGATGAGTACAATTTATCTCATAAGATATGCGTCTTGGGATTTTCCGGCACTCCAGAGTGCTAGTATGCAGCAGTTTACTTTGTCCTGCTTCACTACTTGAAAAGGAAGACGTGGAGAGGTTATAGATTTTCGACGGTAGGGGTGTTTGTTGAACAACTGTTCTGAATCGGAACCATATGTTGAATAACGGTGTGATAGGCGTAGTGTTGGGTAAGTCATTCAACTATGTAGTCTGGCACACGTGTTACTCATGTATATATTAAAAATAATAATACAGTAGTGCATACGAAACATTAAAAAAGTATATCAGTTTGAGGTTCTGCGGTTTGGTCATTTCAGTACAGAAGTTAAAGAGCTTATAATCGAAATGAATAAGACTACAAAACAGGTTTGATAAATAATGCAATAATGCAACTGACTGACTGGATTCAACGTAGAACTTTGCACAGATGTGCAGTAGTTTGAGTTCCCACACTCCAAGTAGCACACAAAGCAAGAGAAAACAGTAAACAGAGATTCAAAAGAGAGATAATAAACAGAAGTGCAAGGGGAAAAGAATAGTAATATGGAAGATGAATAGGGTTTGATTGGATATGATAAACCACAAAGAGTGAATGCATCTGCACTGTGATTGAGAACGATCTTGTGCCGTATCACTAATTGTCTTCACCTATTGGTTTTTACGATCCCGAGGAACCCAACCAGGAAGTCTAGACCTTCCTACGTGGTTTAAACAACAGTTTGTGCTCGAAACGTCATCAGTTAATATTACTGTACAACACTGTGATTTATCAAAATAAAATCTTATCCATAATGGAGTGTTGTGAATTTCATTAGCTGATGCCATCCAATAATGTGTAACCCCTGAGTTACACCAAACTCACTTAGACACAGATGAACCGAAACTAGCAACAACAGGAAAGGAAATCAATTTTGTCTGAGTATGCTGTATGTTTAGCATTCAGATATTGGATTTGTTGCTTTCAAGTTGAACACCAGTTAAGAAACTCTTGATAATCTGGAACCATCAAATATCTGCTTCTGTCTAGTTTGGTGATTTCATCAGTACGCACACGGGACATTGCCAGAAATTAAGGTTAACGTGTTGAAGTGACGAGCCAAAATCTTGTGAATTATGCAGATGCAGACTTCCGGTGGGGCCCTCGGGACTCTAAGAATCAATGGCCGGAGACAATAGGTGACATGGGCCAAAATCGTTGTCAATGGCGCAGATGTATTCAGTCTCTGTAATCTTTCACATTCCTTTCTACCATTATTCATTCTATTTCACTCTTATACTTGTCGAAACTCTATTGATTCTCTTCACTCATTTTCTTGTCTACCTTTGTGTGCTATTTGGAACGTGGCAACTCGAACTGCTGCACTTCGGTGCCAAGTTCTATGTTGAATCCAGAATCGACAGTTATTAATAATGATATTTTTATGTGCTTATCATTTTGTTTCAGACGAAGCGAAGTATGGTTCTGTACTTGTAAGCGTACTTCAGAACCGCCGTATTGTGATGGAAGTCATAACTGTGAAGAAGTACAATTTCAAATAAAACAATGAATAGCACTTGTCTCAATAATCTTCAATTAGTCTTCAAAAATAAAAGCCAACGTATGTACAGTCTTATATAAATGCTTTTCAAATACAGAAAATAGCACGCCTCCACTGTCTTTTCTTCAAATGTAATTACGCCACTGAAGAGTCCCAAACTAGGACGAAAAAGCTGTCTAATACTCTCAGGTTTTCCAATGGTTCTCTAACCAATGTCAGCTCATGATGAAAATCCTGTAACCAATCTCTCTGTCTGTTTTCTTGATTGTATGGGAGAGACTGTTATATGTTGAATACTCAACGTAGGTAGTATTGAACTGCTTGATACCCTACCAACTGTACTACAAGACCCAGTCATTAATGAGGTCCTAGCTTATAAATTTCTTCATTATGATACCACTCACTGATCCAAATTATTTGATTAAAATGCAAGCGGTAGCCAACTGAATTCGCTAGTTCAATTGTTAGAACTCTGAGTTAATAATCTAGTGACTGTTAGTCTGAATCCAAATGATACTCCGATTTTGTCTCCACATTATCTCTGATTTTATTCTGACTTCATTTCCACATCTTTGCTTAAGGTTGTTGTTTTTAGTTTCCTCTATATAAGTATCAGTAAAATATATCTTTATGAAGTCTCTTTTATATTTAATTCACTCATAGTGAATTTTTAATTCCCATCCAGACTGTTAGAAACTATGCAGTATTGAATCCCGTTTTAGTTTGAAATATTTGTTCGTTCACTCATCATCTTTCTATAAACCACAAATGTATATTCGTCTGTCGTTCATCCACTAATTCCAACACAGAATCCATATAATTTTAGCTATTCTCAGTGTTTCTCTTTTGTAAGGTGATACGAATATTTTGGCTGAATTATTTATAACTACGTTAGTTTAATATGTTTTAATTTGTCATCTGAGACATAAGCGATTTAACTTGCTTAACTTACTTGCGCTCTGCTAGTGTTGAGTAGTTTAGTGATTCATTCGATGTCGCTATGTTTTAGTGCCTGAGACAAAGTGACTAGGCGTAGTACTGATGCTGTAACTGACTGGACACCTTGATATGATTATGAGCAATAAATCGTGCTCGAAACCTCATCAGTAAATATTAATGTATAACACTGTGAGACTTTACCAAAATAAATTTTACCCATAACGGAATGAACACAAGTTTGTCAGGAACATTTGAAGGTCTAGATTAGTGTTTGATAGGCTCCACACTAACTTACTCAAAACTGAACTCATCTTTTCATTCTAGAAGTGATGCATTAATTAAACTTTTATCAGTCACTTAGTAATAATTCACTTAGTGTGGATGACTGCCTTGTCTGCATATTTCGCTACAACTACAATATTCTTGAAAAATAATATTCACAAATTAAAAGTTATAACATTTAGGTGATCGCAAATTCTGAGTACATGATTTCTACTGAGTAACTCGCAAAATCATGTTGAGTATTCATAATTCTTAGTGCAGTTTTCTGGAAAATGCTTTTTAAAATTAATTTTATTAACTCCAACATTCCCGACCGAAAGCTGTTACCTTGACGTGGTGGTCGGGCTTGAACACCGCAATAACCCAACAAGCTATACTGGCTGAGACTAATGTCACTTGAGGTCCTACCATGTCAGAAAGGTTTTTTGGATAGCGGTTAGACAAAGCAGTTACCCAACCCAATCCTATGACTCAAAATACCATGCCGGATCGGTAGGGGCCCGGATTAACAACGACCGCGCTTCCTGCTGCCCTGTCACAGGGCAGAAGTGATAAATATGCTACTGAGACACACCAAATAAAAAATAACAAACAAAAACAGGCCGCGTGTGACCGGCCTCAAGCAGTTGTCCCCTGGACTCTGCGGTCGCGCAACCAACTTCCACGGTGTGGGCAGCCAGGAAGTAACAATCGCCCTCACAACCCGAAGAGCACGCGAAACCTCTCTATTCCTCACTCACCTTTGTCTTCATCTTCATCTCTATTATCTTACCTTCCTTCTACTAATGCAACTCCTCTACTTAATGGCCCTTCACTTCCTCTTCACTCTGTGTGCACTAAAAACGACGGAAGCCAAAAAACCACCATCGATAGTCTCCTAAAGCCACGCCACCAATTTCATATAGGAGCATTTAATGTTAGGACACTTTGCCAAATAGGACAACAAGCATCACTAGCCAAGACTCTGGCATCCCGAGCCATTGATGTATGTTGTGTTTCAGAAACACGCATACAAGACCCAAGTGTGGTTATTCACCTAACCCCATCTGGCCAACAGGATGAATCTGCAAAATTCACCTTGAGGGTGTCAAGAGATGCGACGGCTAGCTCACGAGGATTAGCTGGTGTTGGGATAGCTTTGAGTACTAGTGCAGAAAAGACATTACTTGACTGGATCCCGGTAGATAGCCGAATGTGTGCTGTCCGTCTGAACGGATCAGTAAAAAGGAGAAAGGACTGCACTACTCGCCGATGCCTTTTCGTAATTTCCGCCTACGCCCCCACTGACTACAGTTCGGATGAAACGAAGGATGAGTTCTACCAAAAGCTGTCTAGTCTGCTGCAAAAGGCTAAACGCTCAGATATAGTCGTTCTAGCTGGTGACTTTAATGCTGAAGTAGGGAAATTGTGTCAATCTGAGAAGAATGTCGGTGGCACATACGGAATTCCGTGCCAGCGAACCCACAACGGTGACCGTCTCCTACAATTCTGTTCAGATAATCATTTGTTTCTTGTAAGCACTAACTTCAAACAGAAGGGGAGACACTGTTTGACCTGGCGCCCCCATAATCAAACCAACACTGGACACAAATAGACCACATAGCAATAAGTTATCGTTGGCGTGGGTCGGTAGGAGATTGTCGCTCCTTCTGGAACACGTGTATAGATACCGATCACGCACTGGTCTGCGCTCGTGTGTGCTTACGACTGAACGGGCGTAGGAAACAGCCGGCGGTAAACCCATCACTTCCCCAGCTCGACCAGGAAACTAAGTCCCTATTTGAGGAAGAACTAGCTAAACACATATCTGAGTTCGACAGCTGCGCTCACCCTGAAGAAGCCTGGAAGAATATTCAGTCAGCCATAGATACAGCTGCAAAAGCTGTGAATAAGGTAAATCCAAATGTGAGTAAAAACCACTGGATTTCGACTGCCTCATCCGAACTGATAGATGCCAGAAGACTTATCCCGGCGAGCTCCGAATTCAATGAGGAGCGAAAGCTGCACAAAAGGAAACTTACGAAAAGTCTCCGCAAGGACCGTGAACAGTGGTGGTTGACAAAAGCGAAAGAGATGGAAAGAGCACCGGCTATAGGCAACACTAGGCAACTCTTTAGACTCATCAGGGAAACGGGTGGGAGAAGGCAAATCATAAGTGAGACTATTTCTGAGAAAAATGGCTCCTTAATTAGCTCTCAAGATAGACTCCTTGAACGCTGGAAAGGACATTTTGAGGAACAATTTAACTTGCCTACAGCCACACTGAACCTCCCCGCCATCCAGCCCACACCCGAATGGGAAAGAGACACTGGCCCGCCGTCTGTAAGTGAGGTCACAAAAGCTACCTGTAATTTGAAACGAGGCAAAGCGGCAGGACCTGACGGAATTATTCCGGAGGTGTTTAAATATGGGGGTGACATACTAGGATGTAGTTTAACTTAGGTAGTAGGTAACGTCTGGGAATCAGAGACGGTTCCATCAGATCAGGGTAAGTCGCTTATTATACCAATATTCAAGAAGGGAGACAAGTCCTCATGTGATAATCATAGGGGGATCAGCCTAACGAACATAGTTTCTAAAATCCTAGGCTCAGTAATTATGCACAGACTAAGCAGAACTCGGGAGGAACAAACGAGGGAAAATCAAGCAGGCTTTAGGCCAGGTAGAGGGTGCATAGATCATATCTTCACTCTCCGACAGATCCTAGTACATAGACACACTTTTAGGCGTCCAACAGTTGCCATATTTCTTGACTTGAAGGCGGCCTTCGACTCCGTGGATCGAAAGGTACTATGGCAATGTTTGACTGTGAAGGGAGTGCCAAGAAAGTACATTGCACTAATCAAATCACTCTACTCAAACTTACGTAGCCGTGTAAGGGCTCATGGGGAATTGTCATCTGAATTGATAACAACCAGTGGTGTCCGTCAGGGATGTCCACTTTCCCCATTTCTGTTTAACTCCATCGTAGATATGCTAATGGAAGTATCCTTAACTGAACTTAACGACTTAGGAATCGACTTGTTACCGGGAAATAGATTTATGGACTTAGAATATGCAGATGACATAGTCCTGTTAGGGGAGGATGCTGACAAAATGCAGAGTCTTCTGAACACCTTGAGCAGCAACCTTCGTATGTTTGGCATGCGATTCGCCCCTGTAAAATGCAAGATGCTGCTACAGGACTGAACTACGTCAACTCCTAGCTTAGTGATAGGGAGTGAAGTGATAGAACATGTTGACCACTTCACCTATTTGGGGAGTTGTATCAGCACCAACGGATTGATTGGTGACGAAATCTCAGCACGGATCCAAAAAGCTCGAGCTGCTTTCGCTAACTTAGATCATCCCTGGCGTAGGCGTGACATCCGGCTATCAACCAAGGGAGGTGTGTACTGCTCAGCAGTTCCCTCCGTCCTTCTCTATGGCTCTGAAACATGGCCAATACGAGTTGAAGACATGAAAAAGTTGACTGTTTTTGGTCATAGATGTCTACGATCTCTTTCTCACGTTAGGTGGTATAATAGGGTAATTAATGTTGACGTTAGGCATAGAGTGTTGGGCAAAGAGGGAAAATCAATCGAAGAGGCTATAAAGTTACAAAGATTGAGATGGCTAGGTCATGTGCTGCGCATGCCTAACCATCGCCTCCCCCGACGGGCATTACTAGCTGATATAGGTGCAGGTTGGAAAAGAGTAAGTGGTGACCAAACAAAAACATGGCATCAATCCATGAAATCCCTGACAGTTAAACTGAGTCAGGTAGGGAGATGCAGACTTCCGGGTTGGGGCCCTCGGGACTCTAAGAATCAATGGCCGGAGACAATAGGTGACATGGGCCAAAATCGTTGTCAATGGCGCAGATGTATTCAGTCTCTGTAATCTTTCACATTCCTTTCTACCATTATTCATTCTATTTCACTCTTATACTTGTCGAAACTCTATTGATTCTCTTCACTCATTTTCTTGTCTACCTTTGTGTGCTATTTGGAACGTGGCAACTCGAACTGCTGCACTTCGGTGCCAAGTTCTATGTTGAATCCAGACAGAGACTCCAACATTGTTATTTAGAAGTTTGTACAATTCCTTAAGTTTCGAAGAGTCTTCATATTTTCTGAGTATCCCTGAAACACTGATTAGGTATGGTTTCCCATCTGTAGAATGTAAATTTTGAAAAAATACCAGTTTTCGCTTTAGTTTCTTATAGTATTTGTGGAGTTACTG